TCACCCCAGCAAAAGGGGACTACATAAAGATGTGCACAGTGGAATTATTGGGGTCACCCTAGGGTCTGTCCTTCACACCAGAAAAACTAGTGTGGAACTCCCTCTACCCAGCAGAGGAAAAAGCAAACTGTGAGTCATGTGGGGCAGACAACAAGCAGGGTGATAATGGTGGTCATCACCCCAGAGACAATGGGAGCTCATAGACACCCCCACCACACATGGTCATACCTCCTTTTCCTCTCCCCAAATACCCAGATACAATCTCAAAAGGAGACAAGGAGGGGAAAGGGGACTCAAAATCTGAGCTATTGACCCTTTTCACCTCTGGAAATTGAGCTTTAACTAAACAAACTATGTAAATCATGAGGGCAGACAGAGTTGAAAATCAGAATGGAGTTAGCAGTTAATTATTTAACTGTTAAGGACCAGATGACTTAGAGACAAAATAAAGGCATACACTTTTGTCCACATAGCCCAGACAGATGTGTAATGAAAAATCATTTTGACTGGCTGCACATATTTTTATGAAGATTTTCTAATTAACCCATGGAAGTCATCTCCGTCCTGGTGAATATGAATAATGCTCTCCACTTATAAATGTCGGAACACTGCAAAATAAGACCATTTTAAATAAATTTAAATGTTGTGTAATGCTCAGTGCAAATAATCCTCTTATTTTGAACAGAAAGAACAAGGTATAAAATTTTTGCTAAGTGGAAGTCCGCTTCTGCTAAAAGTCAGTTTTTCCCTATTTAGTATTTTAGTATTTCCCTATTTAGTATTTCCCTATTTAGTATTCCCTATTTAGTACACTAAATACATGTTGAATAATAAAAAATGCCCACTTAAATTGTTGTCAAAGGGTAAGCCAGTCCAGCACAAAGACAGGTCTCAAGCTGGCCTTTCACCACCTCATGTGGATGCATCTTACAACAGAAGTCCTCATCAGTCATTTGTTGGAATTTAGAATACATTTTACCACATTAACTGCCATTTTAACCATTTATTATATGCTAGACACGATGCTTAGTGTTTTGTATATATGATCTCAGCAAATCATTAAAACCCTATGAGGAACATATAATTATATGCATTTTAGATGTAAGAAAACAGAAGCATTGAGAGGTTAAGTAAGTTGCCCAAGGTCCCACAAAGAGCAGGTGGTCCTACAGGAACTGAAACTCATGGGGCACCTGGGTGGCTCAGTTAAGCGTCTGCCGTCGGCTCAGGTCATGGTCCCAGGGTCCTGGGATCGAGCCCCGCATGGGGCTCCCTGCTCAGCAGGAAGCCTGCTTCTCCGTCTCCCACTCCCCCTGCTTGTGTTCCCTCTCTCACTGTGTCTCTCTCCGTCAAATAAATAAAATCTTTAAAAAAAAAAATAAGAAGAAACTCAAATCCACAAAGTTCCAAAGGCCATCCCTTAAATCTTTGTACAATACCTGTCAGACTGGTCTACAAAAGCCTAGTAAACTCAGAATGTAGCTGAATACAATATTGCCGTTGCACCTACAACTTTCAGAAATGGTCTGATAGGAAAATGTATTACAAGTTTCAGCTTGGGCCAGAAACTCCCCTCTCCCTTCTGCAGCCCTGCAGGGGATGAGGGCAGAGCCTCTCCCAGCCCGTCATGGTTTCCTACCTCCAGGACAGAAAGAGGACTCCTTCGGCTCCAACTCTGTGCTGGCCGCTTTCACAAGCTGAGGCAGAGTTAGTGATGGACACTTTCAGGGCTCTGGGCAGGTAAGCCTGGGAGCCCACACACTCCTGCCACATTAAAGCCCCGGGTCACTCCTCAGTCTGGGACGGTCCCCTGTCACCCTCTTACTTTCCTCCTCGGGCCCCAGGCCTATCTCCTCCCTTTCCACCGCCACTATTTGTCGCTTCCAATCAAGATTTTTCTGTTCTCCAAGCTCCTGTAAAACGGAAGCTGGTCTTGCATCCTCTGAATTTTAACCCTCTTATCAGAGAAGAAGCAAATCAGAAGTCCTCCATTCATCCTATCCTTCCTGTAAGATGTGGAAAGCTCACATTTGCATGCAATTTTCAGTGACCAGACTGAGAGATTCAGGTGAAAAGGAGGTGATTATAACCAGTTGCTATGACAACAGCAAGATATAAAATGGCATAGCAATTCATAGGACAAGCTTTTAAAATTACATAAATTTGAAGTATTACAAGAAACCATTGAAAACTACATATATAAGAATGACTGGCCAATTGAAAGAATGAAGTATATCACACAAATAAACCACCCTGAATTAATTAGGCAATTAAAGGTACATATACAATTTTCATCAAGAGACTGTAAGAAAGAGGGGGAGTTACAATTCTGGCGCCTCTGTAAAGTTACCTGCCAATCAGACTGATCCAGCTGCTTTCATGTTAAAATTTTGCACGTCTATCACAACTCTAAGAATTAAGTCACAGTGAAATGACAAGGCTAACATCGCGAAACGGAAGTGTTCACCTTCAGCATTTAACACTGTTGACCATTCTCCCCCTTAAAACTTGCTCTCGCTCGATTTCCTGACACTGCACTCATTTACAACCTTTCCTGCTCTCACACTGGTCCTCTCTTCCTCCTGGTTTCTCCGACGTTTTGTAGCTGAGTCTCATCCCTTTGGATCGATCACATGTCCTCAATTATTATCTCTTACCTGATGACTCCCAAATCTACACGTCCACTCCCAAAACCCGTCCAAAGATGCAGACCCATGTTCCAATTGTGTGAAGAAGTCTCCTAATGACATCTCAAAATTGGTACTTCTATATTCAAGCTTCAAGACCATTTCCCTAATGAAGCTAATGGCACCAACGTCTTCCAGAAATTCAGGCAAAACATCTTTTTGGTCATTGTTTCTTCCCTCTCTCTCATATCCAGGCACCCAGCCCTCCTAATTCTACCTCTGTAGTAGCTACTGAGTCTCTCTGCTCTGGGAGAATCATTATGGGCACCCCCAAGTTTGCACACTTCTTCTCATCTAAACTACAGCAACGGGCTCCCAACTTCCCTCCCTGCCTTTAAGCTTTCCTTATTTCAATGTTGCCCACACACTCTTGAGCATGAGAATCATGAGGGTTTTTTGTTTGTTTGCTTGTTTGTTGTTTTATTTTGTTTGTTTTGTTTCATAAATAATGGTTTCCAGGCCTTGCCCAAGACCTACTGAATAAGAATCTACCCCAGAGGAGCTTGAGAGCTTATATTTTCCTAAGTATTCCAGGATGATTCCTCTAATCAGACAAATGCAGTTTACTCACTACTACTGACTGACTTAATTCACCACCCCTAACCAAAACTTCCCATGGCTCCCGTTGCTGGTAAAATTAAGTCCAAATTCCCGCCTTTACATTTAAGGCCTTCCACCACTTAGTCTACACACATCCTTCCAGTCAGCATCCCCGTTATCGCTTCTCACATACTTCATGCCCAATCCACACTCATTGTCATGCCAAAACTTTTTCTGCATTTTTCCATGATAATGTTTCTCATCACATAGTTCCCTGAGTCTGGACTACCCTATACCCATGTCTCTGTGTTCAAACCCCAGCCATCCTTCAAAGTTCGTCTTGGTTTTATTTGTACCCCTTTTTTATAGCCTCCCCATAGCAAGCAAATACATCCACCACTGTGCCGTTGTTTGGCTGTGTGTGTGTGTGTGTGTGTCCGCCGCTCCTTTATAAGATGAAACAACAACCATCAGAACTGACTACTTGGGGCAAATCGGTCTGCTATTCACCTACATGGACCACATTATAACCATATCACTGCCTGAATGCCCTGTTTTTTCTTCCTTTTTACTCATCAAATCCCATAGTCTTTAAGACACTATCTCTTAAAGTATGGGCCACTAGCCATTATGTGCCAAAACAACAGACCTGGGTTGTTTTTAAAAGGTGAATTCCCAAGTTACTACCCCCAGATCTGAATTACAATCTTTAGGAGAAGGAACCCAAAGATCCGCATTTCTCACCAACACCACCAACTAATTCTTTTGTACAGGGATATTGAGAACATGTTTTTAAACCTGGCTCAAGCCCCACTCCTCCCAGAAAACCCAACAACTTGAGAGCTCACTATGGGCTTGATGCTATACTGTTCCTTATGACCTTGTTTACTATGGCTTATGATTTTATTTCATTTTGTAAGCTATCAAATAATTATGATCTGTGTGAGGTGTGGATACTAAACAACACTATAGAAAAAATGTCATATAAAACATATACCGATTAATAGTAAAGAATGTGCCCCTGGAATCAACCTGTCTCCATTCATATCCTAGGTGTTGCACTTACTGGCTACATGACCTTGGGCTAGTTGGTTAACCCCTCCATGCCTCCACTTCCCATCTATGAAGTGGAATCATGATGCTACCCAAATCATAGGACTGTCATAAGGATTACATGGGACAATTCACGGAAAGTACGAGTACCTCAAGAAATGTTAGTCATTATTATTCTGCACAATTATCACTGCCCAAAAAAGCCCTTTTATTCTACCTGGACAAATAGGGCACAAAACTAAAAAAGACTAACCATCAACTCTTTTGGGGCTTTTTGTCTTTTCTATCTGTTTTCCTCTCAGTCTACAGCTATCTTGTACATGGAATAATGGACAAAGCACAGTTAGACGCAGAAGAAAGGGCCCCAAATTTAGAAGGATCCAGGAATGAAACATCATACACAACTCTAATATTCAAAGCCTTATTCCAGGAAGTGTGATCTACCCAATGGTTCTAGATCTAAACAATACAGGGCAATTCCTATCTAACCCATGACAAATGTCAAGAACTGAGACTCTACCTCTGTTTAGAGATTTCATCAGCCAATCTCATAGTGGGCCTTGTCATTGTCCCAATGGAGGAACAGTAATTTTTCAGCTTGTGATTTCTCTACTGTTACCCTGTGGCAGTGTTTTTTTCTACTCAACACCATTTGTCAAGTAACTAATAGGTATTTGATGGCAAGTAGGTAATTTATTTAGTGATCAGAGAATGGACAAGGGGAACTTATGATGTAAAGGCACATTTCTCCCCATTAGGTCTCACGGTCGGGGTTTTATGGGGTTAGGGTAATTAAGGGGGCTGGTAAGCAAGCTGATATCAGGGTTTTTCCAGGAAGGGGCAGGAGGCTCGAAGAATCAAAGTGTCACCTCTTTTCTTCCCTTGAATGGGCACTGTCCAATCTGTCAGTGGGTTGGTTGGTGTGTTATTGTTTTTTTTATTACAATTAGATGGTAATGATCCCAAGGTCATCTGGAGGGTTAGCACGGCATCAGAACTGCATCAGACTGGTGGAAAACTGGGTCAGGGGTGCTTGCTTGGAGCTTGCAGCTTCTGGCATCTGGCCTTCGCTTCTGGTGGCAAGCAGCACCTGTAAGCAGGGCCAGAAACTGGGTTATTGTGGCTGGTTTGGAGCTTGGTAGCGAGTCCCTGGTGACAATACTAAGGCAATCTGACTGATGCTTCTTTTCAGGGGTCTAGACAACCTCACCTCCCACCTGACTTCATTGTTTCTTTGTTTTCTCATCATCTCAACTATTCCTCTACTGCAGAAAATGTTCAAGAAGATATATTCTCTGAAAGATTTAACAGGTCCTTTCATGAGCTTTCATGAAACAGTCCAGTGGGAGTCACCTTTCCCAGCACACTTTTTTATCTTCTTGTGGAAAGATGAAAGAGGTAAAGTAAATTCCATTACTCTCTTATGTGGGCCTTAAGGCTCTACAATTTTCTATAATCATTTGTCAAGTGTTTTTAGTCCAAAACAGGATTTCTGGTTTCAATTTCTTTGTCTAGTCCATATTTTAGGTCACAGTTTACGCACTGGCAAAGATTCTCTGGGGACCAGTGTTTGTTGTGTATAACTCCCACAATGTTCCATATTAAAAGCCAACCAAAAACCAAGGTAGGATGTTGTCTTGTAATTCATTCTCAGAAGAGAAATGTTTGTTTTTCTGTACATTTAAAGGGCAAGTTTTCTTTTCTGGAGGTATTTTTTAAATTCTTTCAATTCTAATAGTCTTGTTGATAACAGCTTTATTGAGATATAATTCACATATAATAAAACACAACCTTCTTTTTTTTTTAGACTCACCTTTCTAACCTGTGCAATTCAGTCTTTTTAATATATTCAGAGTTGTGCAGGGATTATTATCTAATTTTGGAACATTTTCATCACTCCAAAAAGAAAGTCTATACTCATTAACACTCATTTTCCATTCCCCCTGCCCCAGCCTCTAGAAACTACTAATCTAATATCTGTCTACATAAATTTGCCTATTCTGGACATCTCAGACAAATGGTAATATACAGTATGTGGTCTTCCGGGACTGACTTCTTTCACTTAGCATGTTTTCAAAGTTCACCCATATTATAGGATGTTTCAGTGCTTTATTCCTTTTATCATTGAATAATATTTCATTGTATGAATATAGCATATTTTGTTTATCCATTCATCAGTTGAACATTTGGGTAGTTTCCACTTTTGGACATTGTAAATAATGCTGCTGCTATGACTATGTGTGTGCAAGTTTTTATATGGTTACCTTTTTATTTCTTTTAGGTATCTGGCCAGCAGTTGAATTGCTGCATCATATGGTAATCTCTGTTTAACATTTTGAGAAACTGCAAAACTAATTTCAAAACTTGGTGGACCATTTTGCAGTCCTGCCAGCAATAAAGGTTCCAATTTCTCTACATCATCACCAACACTTATTTTTCTTTCTTTCTTTTTTTAATAGCCATCCTAGTGAATGTAAAGTCATATCTCATTGTGGTTTTTTTTTTTTTTTTAAAGATTTTATTTATTTATTTGAGAGAGAGAATGAGATAGAGAGCATGAGAGGGGGGAATGGGAGAGGGAGAAGCAGACTCCCTGCCGAGCAGGGAGCCCGATGCGGGGCTCGATCCCGGGACTCCAGGATCATGACCTGAGCCGAAGGCAGTCGCTTAACCAACTGAGCCACCCAGGCACCCTCATTGTGGTTTTGATCTGCATATGCCTCATATGCAGATGCATAATGAAGTTGAGCATCTTTTCACATGTTTATTGGCCATTTTCTGTATAACCCTTGGGAAAATGTCTATTCAAATCTTTGGTCATATTTTAATAGCATTCTTCGTCTTTTTTTATTTGGGGGTTTTAAGAGTTCTTTATATATTCTTAATATAAGTCCCTAGTAAGTTTTAAGATTTCCAAATATTTTATCAATTCTATGGGTTGTCTTTTGATTTTCTTAATGGTGTCAAAGCTTTTAATTTTGATGAAGTCCAATTTGTTTTTTTCTTTTGTCCTTTGTCATATCTAAGTAATCATTGTCTAACTTATGGTCACAAAGATTTCCTCCATGTTTTCTTCTAAGAGTTTTATATTTTTAACTCTTACGTTTAGCTTTAAGATTCATTTTGAGTTAATTTTTGTCAATGGCTGTTAGTTAGGGGTCTAACCTCAATATCGTGCTTGTGAATACCCAGTTGTCCCAGCATCATATATTCAAATGACTATTCTTTACTCACTGAATTGTCTTGACATACTTGTCAAAAATCAATTCACCATAAAAGTAAGGGTTCATTTCTGGGCTCTGAGTCCTCCAAATTTGTTCTTCTTTTTCAAGATTAGTTTGGCTATACCAGGTTGCTTGTATTTCCATATGACTTTTCAGATCAGCCTATCAATTTCTGCTATCAGGACAGCTGGGTTTATAAATAAATAAATAAACAAACAAATAAATAAATAGTATTTCTATCTTTATAATACTTTTCCAATCAATGAACATAGGATGTCATCCCATTTATTTAGGTTTTCTTTAATTTCTTTTAATGATGTTTTATGGTTTTATGTATACAGATTTAATACTTATTTTGTCTAATTTATTACTAATCATTTTATTCTTTTTGATGCTACTGTAAATGGAATTGCTTTGTCAATTTCATTTTTGGGTTGTTTGTTGCTTGTGAATACATAGAAAAACAATTCATTTGTGTATATTGTTCTTATATCCTGCAGTCTTGCTGAACTCACTATTAGTGCTAAATTGTGTATGTGTGTGTGTAATTGTGTGTATTCCTTGGAATTTTCTATACATAAGATTATGTCATCTATGTCATCTGCAAAAAGAGATGGTTTTACTTCTTCCCTTCCAATCTGCAAGTCTTTTATTTCTTTTACTTGCATAACTGACCTGGCTAGAACCTCCAGTACAACATGGAATACACATGGTGAGAGGGATATCCTCGACTCATTCCTGATCTTAGGGGGAAAGCTTTTAGTTTTTCATCATTGACTACGATGTTATCTGTGGGTTTTTCATAGATCCCTCTAAAAGACTAAGGAAATTTCCTTCTGTTCCTAGTTTATTAAGTGTTTTCATCATGAAAAAATGTTGGATTTTGTCAAATTTTCTGTACCTACCAAGATGCTATAGTGGGTTTTTTGTCCTTTATTCTACTAATATATGACATTAGTTGATTTTCCCTTTTTACAGTTTTTTTTTTGTTTTGTTTTTTTTTGTTTTTTATTCTTATGTTAATCCCCATACATTACATCATTAGTTCTAGATGAAGTGTTCCATGATTCATTGTTCGTGCACAACACCCAGTGCTCCATGCAGAACATGCCCTCCTCAATACCCACCACCAGGCCAACCCATCCTCCCACCCCCCTCCCCTCTAGAACCCTGTTTGTTTTTCAGAGTCCATCTTCTCTCATGGTTCGTCCACCCCTCCGATTTCCCCTGCTTCATTCCTCCCCTCCCGCTACCTTCTTCTTCTTCTTTTTTTTTCTTAACATATCTTGCATTATTTGTCTCAGAGGTACAGATCTGAGACTCAACAGTCCTGCACAATTCACAGCGCTTAACAGAGCACGTACCCTCCCCAGTGTCTATCACCCAGTCACCCCATCCCTCCCACCCCACCCCCCACTCCAACAACACTCAGTTTGTTTCCTGCAATTAAGAAATCCTCATATCAATGAGATCATATGATACATGTCTTTCTCTGTTTGACTTATTTCACTCAACATAATACCCTCTAGTTCCATCCACGTCGTTGCAAATGGCAAGATCTCATTCCTTTTGATGGCTGCATAATATTCCATTGTATATATATACCACATCTTCTTTATCCAGTCATCTGTTGATGGACATCTTGGCTCTTTCCACAGTTTGGCTATTGTGGACTCCCTTTTTACAGTTTTATTGAGGTACAATTGACATACAAAAACTGAATGTATTTAATGTATACAATTTGTTGAGGTTGGATATATGCGTGTACCTATGACACCATCACCACAATCAAGGTAATAAACTTACCCACCCTTCTGTCCCTTTGGTTTTTGTTTTCTGGGGTTCATTGTTTTTGTTTTGGGAGGTTGCTATTATTGTTTGTGGTAACAAACTTAACATGACATCTACTCCCTTAATAAATTTTTAAGTGCACAATACCACATTGTTAACTAGAGGCACTACATTGTATAGTGTATTTCTAGAACTTACTCATCTTGTAACTATAACTTTATTCCCAGTAAACAACTTCCGGTTTCCCTCTGCCCCCATTGCCTGGAAACTACTATTCTATCTTCTGATTCTATAAGTTTGAATATTTTGAAAACCTCATATAAGTGTATGTACTTGCAGTCTTTTGGACTGAATTGATTTCACTTAGCATAATGTTTTCTAGGTCCATTCATGTTGTTGTAAATGATAATATTTCATTTTTTAAGGCTGAATGTTTCATTATATATTTTACACTTTTTTAGTTTTTTAGAGACCTTCCTGCCATTTTCCACAGAGGCTCCACCATTTTACATTCCCATCAACAGTGTATAGGGTTTCAATTTCACCACAACCTTCCAACACTTGTTCTCTTTGGGTTTTGTTTTTTTTTTGTTTTTTTCATAATAGCCATCCTAACATGTGCGAGGTGGTATCTCATAGTTCTGATTTCCATTTCCTTGATGATTAGTAATGTTGAGCACCTTTTCATATACCTGTTGACCATTTGTATATCTTTGGAGAAGTGTCTATTCAAGTCATTTGCCTTTGAGCTTATTTGTGGTTTTTTGTTTTTGTTTTTGTTTTGCTACTGACTTGTAGGAGTTTCTTATATATTTTGGAAATTAACTCCTCATGAGATACATAGTTTGCAAATATTTTCCTCATTTCACAGGTTGCCTCTTCACACTATTGTTTCCTTTGATTCATTTTCATACATTAAACAACTTTGCAATCCTGGGATAAGTCCCAGTTGGTCATGGTAGAGTATCCTTTTTATATGTTATTGAATTTGGTTTGCTGGTATTTTGTTGATTTTTACATTTTATTCATAAGGAATATTGATCTGTTTTCTTTTTTTTATGTCTTTGATTTTGGTAACAAAGTAACACTGACTTTATAGCATGAGTTGGGAAGTGATCCTCTTCTATTTATTTTTTTGGAAGAGATTGTGAAGAATTTGTATTACTTCTTCTTTAACATTCATAGACTTCACCAGGGAAAACTTCTGGGTCTTATTAAGACATATTTTATGGCCTAACATATGGTCGATGGGAAATGTTCCCGTGCACTTGAGAAGAATTTGTATTCTGCTATTTTGGGGGGGAGTGTTGTGTAGATGTCTATTTTAGGTCTAGTTGGTTTATAAATAGTGTTGTTGAAGTCTTCCTCAGAAACAGTTTCCAATGGATCCTTTTTTCCTGTGAACAGGCCATAGTATCTGTTTCTTGTGTGTCTCATAATTTTTTGTTGAGAACTGGACATTTTAAATAATATAATGTGGCAACTCTGAAAATAAGATCCTCCACCCCACAACACACACACACACACACACACACACAGGGAGTTTTGTGTTTGCTGCTTGTTATTGTTATTGCTGCTGATACCTGTTTAGTGATTTCCCTGGACTATAAATTCTGTAAAGCCTGTATTCTATGTCACATGCAGCTACTGAAGTCTCTGCTCAGTTAGCTTAGTGGTCAGCTAAGGATTGAATAGAAATTTCATTGAATGCTTTGAACGAATAAGTCTCCCAGCCTTTGCAGAGGGGCCTGAATGTGTATTGGGGCATGACTTCAACATTCTGGCAGTCTGAAATCTACCTCAGCCTTTACTTCCTGCTTGTGCAGAGGGTCAAGGTCAGCCAGGGGTGAGATATTAGGATATTCCCACATCTTTTCTGGGCACTGCACAGCCCTGCACATATGCATAGCCTTCTATAACCCCAGGAATATGTCAGAGCTTTCCCAAACCCCCCTATACATCGCACTCCCCATATTTTACTATTAAGTTTTTTGTCCAGCCTCTTGTTTACCCCAACTGGCATTATTATCTCATGCAGCTGAGCTTTAAACAATTGCTGCTGATTATTTTGTTTTTGACAAACATCCTAGAGAAAGGATTTTTTCCACTAAATGAGCTCAAAGTTAAATCAAATAGAGACAACTTCTATGAAGGGGTCTTTTACAAGGAGCTGCCAGACAAGTCAAATACTGACAATTCTCTGGAGATGGGCTTTTATTCTTCCTCTTCAGTGCACTAGGCTGCATTTCCCTAACTACCATGCTTGTGATGCTGCTGGTTTTCAAGGCTACTGCAGAGCTTGGAAAGGGGATGGGAATAGAACAAGTCAAAATGCCTCAGAGCTTGCTGTTCTTACAGAGATCCAGCCATTTTTCCTAAATAAATGGCCTTCATAGGGGCGCCTGGGTGGCTCAGATGGTTAAGCGTCTGCCTTCGGCTCAGGTCATGATCCCAGGGTCCTGGGATCGAGTCCCGCATCGGGCTCCCTGCTAGGCGGGGAGCCTGCTTCTCTCCCTCTGCCTCTGCCTCTCTCTCTCTCTCTCTGACTTTCATGAATAAATAAATTAATTAATTTACAAAAATGGCCCTCATATTGTTGCAAGCCTTTGGTTCATTTTCAGAGTTCTAAAAATGTTGACTTTCACAACTGCTGCCAGTGCTCTTGCTGCTTCTATGGAAGAGATTTTTGGAGGTCTTACTACACCATTCCCAAAGTGCTTCTCTCTAACAGCCTTTTCAAAGAGTGGTGTTTGAAATGATATAGCTCTAATAACTCTCAAAACTCAATAATAAAAAAAAAATCTCATTTTTAAAAATGGGAAAAAAATTTGAACAAACAGTCCATCAGGAAAGATATCTGGAGGGCAAAAAAGTGCATAAAAAGATGCTCAACATCTTTAGTCATTAGGGAAATACAAATTTAAGCCACGTGAAATACAACTACACACCTACTACAATATCTAAAATTTTAAAAGACAGGAAAAAAAAGACTGACAATGCTAAGCGCTGGTGAGGATGCAGAGCGCCTGGAACACTCATACATTGCTGGCAGTCGTGCAGAATGGTACAGTCACTGTGGAAAAGTTTGGCAGTGTCTTATAAAGTTAAAAATACCATTAGCATGCAATCCAGCAATCCTACTCCTAAGTTTTTACCCAAAGAAAATAAAAATATATGTCCATATGAAAACTTACATGTCAATGTTTTTAACAGCTTTATTCATGATCACCAAAAAAAACTGGAAACAACCCAACATCTATCAACTGGTGAGTAAAGTAAAAGAGCTACTGAAACATACCATGATGTGGATAAATCTCCAATGCACTGAACTATGAAAAGAAGCCAGACTAAGAAAGTTACATGCTGGATGATCCCCTTTACCTGACATTTCAGAAAAAAAACAAAACCATATTACAAGAAAATTAGTTAGTGGTTGCCAGGAGCTGGGGTTGCAAGAGAGGTGTGGTTACAAAGACACATGAGGGAACATTTTGGGGTGAGGGAAAGGTTCAATAAGGAAGTTACCTGACTATGTGCACTTATTGATATTCATAGAACCACACACCTGAAGGAGGTAAATATTTCTGTACTTGATCTGTATTTAATCTGCACTTGACCTAAAAGACAAAAAGAATCCTCCCTGCTCTAAACATGATTTTTCTTGGTTAAATAGTTTTATTTTAGACTACTCTCTACCAGTAGCCAATTTCTAGAAGTTAGTTGCTTAACAGACTATCTAGAGTTACAATTTATCCTTCATGAAGCATCTAACAATGTCATTACGTCTTGAGTTGTTTGTTCACATAAAATGTGTAAGAGAATTTGATAGGAGAGAAGAAAGAAATTAATTTGACAACATAGCTAACTAAAGGTATAACAGCATTTTTATAATAAAAAAAGATAAAAATAACAATGTTGATCAATAGCTGATAGGCTAAGTGGTAGTACAAAACTATATAATAGAATATTACATAGCAATTTAAATAATTATGTAATTATAGCTCAGTATTTATTAACATGAAAAGGTATCTATAGTACTTTGCTAGGGTAAAAACAAATTACTAAACTGTATCTTAGTATGATTTTGTTTGGGAAATGCTTGGAAAAATACCCCCCAAAATGTAAATGCTGGGTATCTCTTAGTGAAGTGACTATAGGTAGTTTGAATTCTCCTCTTGGTTCATGATGGACATGTGCATGATAACCCTACCACTTGTCTCAAGAGCTGTTAGCCTGAGTCTGGAATGTCTGGGTAACTGACCCAAGCTCAGTTTGCAGCTCTCAGTTCAGGAAAACCAGAAGTTCAGGCTGTGAGGGCCTAGGGAGCTCGAGGATAATAAATGAGCATTGTGTTCAAGCCCAAGTGTGCTTTACTGAACCACACACAGGAGACCTTCTGTATATATATTTTTTTCCTTCTGTATATTTTTTAACATGAGTGCAGGTGAGATTTACTTGGCTCAGATGAGTGGTCCCAGTTCACAACCAAAGCACTCAGCAGAATTGCTCCATCCTCGGGTATAAAAGTCTGGGCATGGAAGAAAGCACTGAGCTTCCAGAAGTTTTCATGTAACCAAAAGTCGTTTGAACTTCTCATCCACAATAGTGTGCCTGCTGGTGAGGTCCTTTGTAGATGACCTGAATGATGTTGCTATGCCCTCTTTCTAGAACTTCTAGATAAATAAACCTTGTTGGATTTATCCAAATGTGATCTGTGTCTGGTCAATCTGAACCTACTACAATTGACATTTATTAATTCAGTTAGTTTCCATTTGTAAAAAAAAAAAAAAAGAAGAAGAAGAAGAAAAGGAAACCTATTTAGTGAATCTGTAACATCATTCAAAAACAAATAAAGTGAAAAGGACAACCTGCTGGTTATAAGTCAGAAAGTCCTCATGAAATTAAAATTGACACTTCTCTTTGAACGATGGATTCTGTGCCTCAAGCTTATTACCTGTCTAGTATAATTCATTGTATTTTTCTACTATAGAATTGATTAACTTACACAAAATTTGCTTAACAAAAAACTTCCACTGTATAAAACAATCTCTGGAGAAAATGTTTTTTAAAATAATATCCTTTCTAAGACATCCTAAAAGCTAAGTATAATCTAAAAAGCAGATGTGGAAGACCTGTTGTAAAATAAACAACCAAAAACTATTGAAAGGACTACAATAAATCAGCTGAGAAAGGGCAGGAATCCGAGTTAGAGAAACTACTTACATCCACACCCAGAGCCGTCATGGTAGGATGGAAGTTATCTTCCTTTTTAGTGTCTGCTTACACAGTGAGTCTTGGGAGGAAAACACACAAACATCCACATAAAAACACATGCACTAAAACAAACACACAAAACCAAATTACAGATGCCTATCCAATTACATTTCCTAGTGGAACTGAAGAGTAATCAACTCTAATCAAATAATTAAGAACATAGGATGTAAAACATGCCAAATTTGTCTTGATCTCAGATCCAGCACCTTTTAAAGTGCAGACGCGATTACTGCCTCATTTACATATTGTGAGTCATATTCCAACTGAACACAAGTCTGGAAAACTGGGTGGTTACCGCACTGAAGTTTAAGTGCATGCCGTGTTTAAAGAGGCAACACAGGGAGACCATCCTTCCACATAACCTAGTACTTGAGAAGAGTCTTGTCTCAGACAATCAACAGAATAACCTGGAGCTTTTATTTGCCTAGCATTCATTATACCAAACACTATTAGCCATCATACATCCCAGATTTCAAGACATGTCTGGTTTTCCACGTTCCACGATTACATGCCTTGTCGTGCTTTTTAGACTGAAAAATGTAGTCTTCCTAATGATAGCATTAAAGAGAGGGGCTGTGGGGAAGACCAGAACAGTACAAGCTGGGAGAGAAGTAAAATGGAAGTGATCCAGTGCCTAGAAGCTCAAAGGAGCAAAATCAAGTTAGCTTCATTGTAGTCAAGGCTTCAGCACATACGTGGAACTTTCTCTAGCAGAACTGAAAGTTGTAGATCTAAGTATCTTAACAACTGTAGATAGATGTTAGAAGATTGAAAAGCATGCTTGTAGTATTCATGCTACAGAAATCATCAAGAGCAGCAGTGTCCAAACTTTGATCACGTATCCATCCCCTTGGGAAAAAATTTTGAGTATTCACTTCCAATATGTGTATATTTATTTATTTATAAATATATACATGTACTACTGTCCTTTGATACTATTATTTGGCATAATATGTACTTTGGATGAGATTGATCATTAACAATGGCCTATTTTTTAAACTGTGGTTTCAAACTGTGATTGTTTCTTGATATGACTGATAAAGAGTTAAAATTAAGACTAGGAGCATTAACTGCAGTTTCTTGGTAGTTCCCTGGTATCATTAGTTTATCTCCAATCCAAAATTCTTTGCTTAGAATCTTTTTAAGCCACTTGCTCATTTTGTGAGAGTTCTTATTTGCATCTAATTAATCCATTTAATCCATAGATTCACTTAGCCAGGGGCTTCTGAACTACAAAATACCACAACATGCTAGAGAGGGCATGAGAGTGAGGGCACTGAACCGTGGAACCCCAACGCCACCCACCTCATTCACTTGTGACATATGACAGGTGATATATACACTAAGGAAAGGAGCCAGTGCCAGTCTGCATATTAAATATTAGGAAAGCTTAATTTCTTTCTCACATATGTAATACATAATAAATGTGAATGGAAGTTCTAGTATTTTCTACATGAATCCTAACAGATTATCTCGTTTAACTACTCCCCTTTCCCACAATGTACACAAGAGTAACTCTCAACAGGAGACTCAAAATAAGCAATATACTAATAATCAGTATTAATTAATTAATATTGAGTTCCAGGTAAGAGAACCTATGTAAGTGTTATAAGGAAAGGGCAGGTCACTAGGTTACCTCAGACTGAAAAACAAGACAAAAACACTCAAGTACTGAAGAACCAGCCTCTATATGAGGTCAGTCCAATGGTATTTAATCTTTACACTTTTCCAGAACCATTCTATAGGAAACATAGTAATGGCCCTCCATGGTATTATCCTCAGTTACATCTCAATATTTCTTATTTACCTTCATTACTTTCTATTCTCCCCATTGGTGCCATCTTTTTCTTAAACAATGAATATTTTAAAAATCCATTTCTCAACTAACGGAATCCCAACTTAGTATACTTTGGGACACTCTCCAAGATCACTCTAATAGACTGTCCATCGAACTCCCCATCAACCTACCCACAAAGTCCTTGATCATCTGCTCTCATACAATGACACTGTCCAAAGTGGTCACCTATTACCATCTAATTTAGGTTCATCACAGTCCTCTGAATTTTCCCATTTTCCTCAATCCTCCATCTGTCATACTCTTCAGTCTACAAGACATCTCAGACAGGCTATTTTATTGCTTAAACAAATTCAAAAAGATGCAGAAAGCCACTCAGGCTTACTTTTACATGCCTTTCCAGTGCCCTAAGGGCATCACCACATGCCACTGGCCTCAGAAAGGATAATTTATCCCACATCACTGTCTGCACACATCATGTAATTAAGAATGCTGCCAGCATGTTGCTAACTTTGAAACACCTGAACCTGCAGTGCAATCAGTGTATTTGGGGTTTTTTCCAGCCTTATCCAGGTATTATGGACAAATAAAAATTGTATTTGTTTGAGGTGTACAATGGGATGATTTCTGTATATATTATGAAATCATTACCACAATCAAGTTGATGAACACATCCATCACCTCATGTAATTACCTTTTTTTCTATGTGGTAAGAACACTTAAGATCTATTCTGTTAGTAGATTTCAAGTATAGAATACAATATTGTTGACTATAGTCACCATACTGTACATTAGATCACCTGAATTTATTTATCTCATAAGTGTAAATTTGTAGCATTTGACCAACCCCTACACTCCAACTCCTGGCAACCACCATTCTACTCTCCGCTTCTATGAGCTCAACATTTTCAGATTCTACATATAAGTGAGAGCATATATCAAGTATTTGTCTTGCTGTGTTTGGCTTTTTTCACTTAGCATAATGTCCTCTGAGTTCATCCATCTTGTCACAAATGACCAGATTTCCTTCTATTTTAATAACTGAATAATAGTCCATTGTGTGTGTGTGTGTGTGTGTGTGTATATATATATATAGAGAGAGAGAGAGAGAGAGAGAGAGAGAGAGAAAGAAATTGTGGTAGGGACGCCTCATTGGCTCAGTTGATTAAGTCTCTGCCATCAGTTCAGGTCATGATCTTGGGGTCCTGGGATCGAGCCCTGCATTGGGCTCTGCACTCAGCGGGGAGTCTGCTTCCCCATCTCCCTCTGCCCCTCCCCCTGCTTGTGCTCTCTCTCTCTCTCTCATATAAATAACTAAAATCTTTTTAAAAAATTTCTTTATTCACTCATCTATCATTGGACATTTAGGTTGTTTTCATATCCTAGGTATTATGAATAACGCTGCAATGAACATGAGAGTATAGATATCTCTTCAAAATATCGATGGAATTTCCTTTGGATATATAACCAGAGTGGGATTGCTAGATCATATGGTTGTGATATTTTTAACTTTCTGACAAAACTCTATATTGTTTTCCATAATGGCTGCATCAATTTACATGTTTGTATGTGCTATGAAACCACCTCGACCACTGTCATGACTGTTACACTTCAGTCAAGCCTTCTGGAAGCTTCCTGAGGTGCTCTCCCACCCCCCAAAATTATGGATAAATAAGGCAAAACTCTATCAAAAGGCATATTTGGCTCCTGAGTAAGAAATAAAAAGCTTAACTTCCTTTAAATCCCTGAAAATAACCAGTGTAAACCAAATGTCATTGTATACTACATAGAAAAAATGCTGAGTACTGCTTTTTTCCATAGGGAGTAAAAAGGTTGATTTTTAAAGCCCACCCAATATGGAGCATGAAGTAATTAAGCAATGATTTTGAGGTGTTGTCTGAGGAAGGCTTTCTGGGCTTTATAAAACATATCAGAATGCAAAATGGGACAAATCTGTTTCTGGCCCAGACTCAAGAAAGAAAATGACTCTTCTCACCAATGAAGATTTTTAATTGTCTCCCTCAGTCCCTCAGCACAGAAAACTCTTATTTTCCACAAAGAGAACAAAGACCTCAGGAAGTATCCACTCACAACATACTGAGTCTCACTGAGGCATTGTCATTAACAAGTAGTTGTTTTTTCTATTGCCTGTTTAATGGAAATAAAATCTTCTAGAGGAATCACCTGATTAATAAGTGGTTCACTACTGTTTAAGGAAAGCCCAGGACATAGTGGTAAGGGTCCTGAAGCAAGAGGTAGATGGAGAGGCGGACAGCCCAGGACATAGCACTGGAGCACAAAGAAAAGGATCTGAACAACATAGAAGAAACTGTATTTTTAAATCTATGGTTCAGAATTATCACCTCCTCTTTATGAAGAAGGAGCTGGAAATTTGTTTCAAAAACACTACCTAACCTTATACTGTGTCATATATAAATGTCTATGGTAGACTGTTTATAGATCACATTAATTCAGTCAATCTCGACAAATGTTTTATTATCTGATTTAAAGAACCCTTCCAGATAGGATGATCCACAGAGTCATATAGTGGATGAGCCTGTGCCCTATTATATTTCAAGGCTGGGCAAATCCAGTCAGGGAGAAGCCTTAATGAGCATGATCTTAGGCTGAATTTCATCTAAGGGTGCTACCACTTACACTTAGAAAATAACTTTCAGCAAATAAACTGCAGGTGTAAATGGAAAACCAGTACAGAAGTATTTAACACTGAGAAAAGTCTTTTGACACTGATTCAATGCGTTGGTGACATATGACAGAGGTATGTTTATAATTCATGTTCTGGTAAAAAAAAAAATGTTCATGAAAAATGTATCTTTAAATAGCAACTGTCCTCCACCCTCAGGAAGGGGCAGGAAGAAATTTGCTTCAAATGTTATAAATTATATATTGCTCATCTTGATCTCAGTCAAACAGATCGTGTTTGCTTCAGTTGAAATAAAGACATCTTTTTAAATTTAGAAACAGAGCCATTTACTTTCAGAAGAAATAAAATCAAGAAACAAACCAGACATTAACTCTCTACTAGCTACTGCAGGTCATCATTCATCTAACCTGGGACACCCTGTCAGGACAGTGGGACCAATCTTACCTGTTAGGCCACCAAGATGGTCAGTCCAAGGCTTTGGAAACCAGAAGCACAATCTCTTCTGGGACTCTCTTCTTCTCTAAGGCTTTACTTGGGTATCCTTCTCCACCAGCTACCCTCATCTACAGCAATGCTAGAGCATTCTTCACCCTACTGCACCAGCTGCAACCGAAAGCTTCAGGAAATAAAAACGCTCATTTTAAGAGAAAAGATGGAATCCATATGATTTAATGATTTAGTGATTTAATGGCTTAATGACTTAATGTTTAAATTTAATTTAATGTCTAAGGCCAGTCATAAAATTAGACTTTATAGAAAAGAGATTTTCAGTCTACACTAGTTGGATCTGTACACTAAACACTACCAAAACATACACAAGAGAATATTTGTTATAATGGGTTATGTTAAAGTGAGACACATGAGTACCTATAACTGGAAATTATTCCCAAAGAAATCTAAATTAGCAAGCCTTTCATATTGACTTATAAGCAATTTGAAAGGCATGTGTTGTCAAATCCCTACTGTCTTCTGAAAAATAGCCTTCAAGACTGTGTATGATTCAGAGGTCTCTTGGTTACAAAAGAAAAAAAAAAATCAAGCCAGGTTAAGTAGACCAGCTCATGAAATCCAAAGAGATCATCTGACCAAACAGTGGGATCTGCAGGGCTATAGCCAACCAGATCATCTTGGCCACAACCTGGAATAAATTCTCTCTCTCTCTCTCTTTCTCTCTCTCTCTCTCTCATCTTCCGAAGCTGGCTAAATAAATATATAGGAAAAATCTCTGCAACTAGAAATTCTTGATACCTTCTCTATTAAATAATTCTCAGAGAATACATTCGGATAGATAAAATCTCTCCTCATTCACTTGTTAAATATACCTATACTGATTTTCTATGCCTTCACTTTTAATTATTCATTACATACACCTCCATATATTTTTTAATAAATTCTCCATCACTAATGATATCTAGATGGTAATACATTCCCCCCAAACTCGCTTAACACCACATAGATCTCTGAAGAAGAAACACACTACACTTCAAAGCTTTAAAATATATATGTGTGTGTGTGTATCTATATGACTTGGAACATTGTGTCTTTGAAGTATTTGAGAAAGTCATAGCAAGACAAAAACTTTTACTTTTATTAAAAGACATTCTTTTCTCTGAAGTCATTCTTATTTCCTCAAGAGTTGTGTGCTACTTACCTACTGACCCCTCAACCCACAAAAAAGTCACTATAGGTTTCCTTCTCTAGCCTGGCATGTGGAACAGGATGGCCCATGAATCCTGTATGGGTGCTGCTAAGCCCTAAATACCCATGTGTCACTTATTTTCTTGACATCCTGGTAACAAGTGGGATGTGTTGCATGGCGCTTGCAAGAGCCCTGTTTGGTTGAAGCTTCACACTGTGACAGCCCAGACGGGCCAGTGAGTCTGGGACATAACAAGAAAAACCAATAAGCTGAAGCACTGACCTGTGCCTCATTTGTGCTCTGCTCAGAGGACACGGACAATAAGACTCCTTGGGGGGGCACCTGGGTGGCTCAGTCGTTGAGCGTCTGCCTTCGGCTCAGGTCGTGATCCCAGGGTCCTGGGATCGAGTCCCGCATCGGGCTCCCTGCTCCGCGGGGAGCCTGCTTCTCTCCCTCTGCCTCTGCCTCTCTCTCTCTCTCTCTGACTTTCATGAATAAATAAATTAATTAATTTACAAAAATGGCCCTCATATTGTTGCAAGCCTTTGGTTCATTTTCAGAGTTCTAAAAATGTTGACTTTCACAACTGCTGCCAGTGCTCTTGCTGCTTCTATGGAAGAGATTTTTGGAGGTCTTACTACACCATTCCCAAAGTGCTTCTCTCTAACAGCCTTTTCAAAGAGTGGTGTTTGAAATGATATAGCTCTAATAACTCTCAAAACTCAATAATAAAAAAAAAATCTCATTTTTAAAAATGGGAAAAAAATTTGAACAAACAGTCCATCAGGAAAGATATCTGGAGGGCAAAAAAGTGCATAAAAAGATGCTCAACATCTTTAGTCATTAGGGAAATACAAATTTAAGCCACGTGAAATACAACTACACACCTACTACAATATCTAAAATTTTAAAAGACAGGAAAAAAAAGACTGACAATGCTAAGCGCTGGTGAGGATGCAGAGCGCCTGGAACACTCATACATTGCTGGCAGTCGTGCAGAATGGTACAGTCACTGTGGAAAAGTTTGGCAGTGTCTTATAAAGTTAAAAATACCATTAGCATGCAATCCAGCAATCCTACTCCTAAGTTTTTACCCAAAGAAAATAAAAATATATGTCCATATGAAAACTTACATGTCAATGTTTTTAACAGCTTTATTCATGATCACCAAAAAAAACTGGAAACAACCCAACATCTATCAACTGGTGAGTAAAGTAAAAGAGCTACTGAAACATACCATGATGTGGATAAATCTCCAATGCACTGAACTATGAAAAGAAGCCAGACTAAGAAAGTTACATGCTGGATGATCCCCTTTACCTGACATTTCAGAAAAAAAACAAAACCATATTACAAGAAAATTAGTTAGTGGTTGCCAGGAGCTGGGGTTGCAAGAGAGGTGTGGTTACAAAGACACATGAGGGAACATTTTGGGGTGAGGGAAAGGTTCAATAAGGAAGTTACCTGACTATGTGCACTTATTGATATTCATAGAACCACACACCTGAAGGAGGTAAATATTTCTGTACTTGATCTGTATTTAATCTGCACTTGACCTAAAAGACAAAAAGAATCCTCCCTGCTCTAAACATGATTTTTCTTGGTTAAATAGTTTTATTTTAGACTACTCTCTACCAGTAGCCAATTTCTAGAAGTTAGTTGCTTAACAGACTATCTAGAGTTACAATTTATCCTTCATGAAGCATCTAACAATGTCATTACGTCTTGAGTTGTTTGTTCACATAAAATGTGTAAGAGAATTTGATAGGAGAGAAGAAAGAAATTAATTTGACAACATAGCTAACTAAAGGTATAACAGCATTTTTATAATAAAAAAAGATAAAAATAACAATGTTGATCAATAGCTGATAGGCTAAGTGGTAGTACAAAACTATATAATAGAATATTACATAGCAATTTAAATAATTATGTAATTATAGCTCAGTATTTATTAACATGAAAAGGTATCTATAGTACTTTGCTAGGGTAAAAACAAATTACTAAACTGTATCTTAGTATGATTTTGTTTGGGAAATGCTTGGAAAAATACCCCCCAAAATGTAAATGCTGGGTATCTCTTAGTGAAGTGACTATAGGTAGTTTGAATTCTCCTCTTGGTTCATGATGGACATGTGCATGATAACCCTACCACTTGTCTCAAGAGCTGTTAGCCTGAGTCTGGAATGTCTGGGTAACTGACCCAAGCTCAGTTTGCAGCTCTCAGTTCAGGAAAACCAGAAGTTCAGGCTGTGAGGGCCTAGGGAGCTCGAGGATAATAAATGAGCATTGTGTTCAAGCCCAAGTGTGCTTTACTGAACCACACACAGGAGACCTTCTGTATATATATTTTTTTCCTTCTGTATATTTTTTAACATGAGTGCAGGTGAGATTTACTTGGCTCAGATGAGTGGTCCCAGTTCACAACCAAAGCACTCAGCAGAATTGCTCCATCCTCGGGTATAAAAGTCTGGGCATGGAAGAAAGCACTGAGCTTCCAGAAGTTTTCATGTAACCAAAAGTCGTTTGAACTTCTCATCCACAATAGTGTGCCTGCTGGTGAGGTCCTTTGTAGATGACCTGAATGATGTTGCTATGCCCTCTTTCTAGAACTTCTAGATAAATAAACCTTGTTGGATTTATCCAAATGTGATCTGTGTCTGGTCAATCTGAACCTACTACAATTGACATTTATTAATTCAGTTAGTTTCCATTTGTAAAAAAAAAAAAAAAGAAGAAGAAGAAGAAAAGGAAACCTATTTAGTGAATCTGTAACATCATTCAAAAACAAATAAAGTGAAAAGGACAACCTGCTGGTTATAAGTCAGAAAGTCCTCATGAAATTAAAATTGACACTTCTCTTTGAACGATGGATTCTGTGCCTCAAGCTTATTACCTGTCTAGTATAATTCATTGTATTTTTCTACTATAGAATTGATTAACTTACACAAAATTTGCTTAACAAAAAACTTCCACTGTATAAAACAATCTCTGGAGAAAATGTTTTTTAAAATAATATCCTTTCTAAGACATCCTAAAAGCTAAGTATAATCTAAAAAGCAGATGTGGAAGACCTGTTGTAAAATAAACAACCAAAAACTATTGAAAGGACTACAATAAATCAGCTGAGAAAGGGCAGGAATCCGAGTTAGAGAAACTACTTACATCCACACCCAGAGCCGTCATGGTAGGATGGAAGTTATCTTCCTTTTTAGTGTCTGCTTACACAGTGAGTCTTGGGAGGAAAACACACAAACATCCACATAAAAACACATGCACTAAAACAAACACACAAAACCAAATTACAGATGCCTATCCAATTACATTTCCTAGTGGAACTGAAGAGTAATCAACTCTAATCAAATAATTAAGAACATAGGATGTAAAACATGCCAAATTTGTCTTGATCTCAGATCCAGCACCTTTTAAAGTGCAGACGCGATTACTGCCTCATTTACATATTGTGAGTCATATTCCAACTGAACACAAGTCTGGAAAACTGGGTGGTTACCGCACTGAAGTTTAAGTGCATGCCGTGTTTAAAGAGGCAACACAGGGAGACCATCCTTCCACATAACCTAGTACTTGAGAAGAGTCTTGTCTCAGACAATCAACAGAATAACCTGGAGCTTTTATTTGCCTAGCATTCATTATACCAAACACTATTAGCCATCATACATCCCAGATTTCAAGACATGTCTGGTTTTCCACGTTCCACGATTACATGCCTTGTCGTGCTTTTTAGACTGAAAAATGTAGTCTTCCTAATGATAGCATTAAAGAGAGGGGCTGTGGGGAAGACCAGAACAGTACAAGCTGGGAGAGAAGTAAAATGGAAGTGATCCAGTGCCTAGAAGCTCAAAGGAGCAAAATCAAGTTAGCTTCATTGTAGTCAAGGCTTCAGCACATACGTGGAACTTTCTCTAGCAGAACTGAAAGTTGTAGATCTAAGTATCTTAACAACTGT